GGAACGGCTTCCGCGTATGACAGTCAGCGGAAGTGAGAAAAAAGCATTTATTACGTTTGAAATATGGATATTTCTCTTACGAAAACGCATGGATTCGCTACAGGAGCCCTTTATTCACTCCCCGGAGCCGTGTGAGGCACGTTTTATTATGAATGCGCGCGCTTTATTTGACGACTTGTGGACTGTTCAACTGCAACACCCGCTGACTGCAATGATAGAGCTTGGAATAGCCAGGACAATTTTTTATATAACTCCGACTGGATTCGTCTGAAAGAAGAAAGTCATATACACCTAGGATGCCTCGAGGGTGAGTAAAACACAGTCTAATTTTCATTTTTGGGTAAACCGTTAAAAAGGTTGAGTATTGGTGCCGATACCAATCCAGAATCTGTGACTCTTATAACAACTGTAAAACTGAATGCGGTGTACAGTATGGTTTGATGTGGAAAACGTACAATTTTGATTCTGTGCATGTTGGGTAATGTGTATCCCGATGAACTTTGTCTGCATTTAACATTAAATACTTCGATTGGTCTGTTTAAAGGTGCGTTCAGTAGTTCTTCTTCTTTGTGTACTTGAAGTATCGCTACTATAATGGTGTTCGACGCTGCACTGCCATCTATCGACGTTGATCAGCATGACGACCTCTGTGTTTTATGTAAATTACACTGGTTTTACACATGAATCCCCTTACCTGTCGAACTATTCACCGTCTTTAAAACCTTTTCTGCTTCTTCGGCTGTACAGGTAGTATTTCACCCGTTGTGTCCATTGATAAATCACGATAATAAGTGTTTTCCATCGTCTAATTTGAACTCCGCGTCAGCAAACTAAACTACGCTACTAGAGTATCCACACCACGGGTCACGTAAAGATGGCACTGAGGGGGCGACCCGTACCATGTAAAATAGGGCGACCAGTCGTTTTTGGTGTCCTATCCTTCTTTATTGGCAGACGAGATGTTTTCGTTGTCTTGTAGTCAATGACTGTCTTGCCCCATGTGCCAGTGTGTGACTGTGGAGAAAAACGAACAAAAGACAAATGAATCAAGATGAGATTATAACAGAGCAGCGGTGATGTATTTTTACAGGCCCAAACCCAGAAATTAGCATGTTAGCACTTCCGGCTCCATCGTCCTGAAATTAATCGTGTTCATTTAATAAACTGTGTTCATTTGTGAAGATTATCAAGATGAGCAAGATAAACTTGTATTGGTAACAGAGCTTATTTTTAAATCCAATGGCTTTTTATCGAGGGAACTGGGGTGATGCAAATTTCTAGACTGGTCTACAGAAATGTATCATTCCTGCAGAGTTCTATTTAAGTAACATTACGAGGAAGGAAAGAGACACAAATATGGGAGCTAATGATAAAGCAGCTTCAGAGATGGTGTTGCTCACCGTGCAGCCATCCTCGCTGACTCTGTATGTGAAGCGGCTGTTGCCCTCCGCTCTGATCTCGATGTCGTTGGAGCCCTGCAGGAGCAGAGCCTTCTTGAGGTTGCCCGTGGCCTCTTCCATGTATGCGATGCTGTTCTTGCAGTGGTAGGTGATGTTCTGAGAAGCCTCGTTGGACATCAGGCGCATGAAGGTCAGTTGGATGTTAACATCCTCTGGATCAGAGCCCTCGCTGCCATACTGGAACTATACAGAAGACACAACGGAACATTACTACCGGTGTTCATCAGCAAAAATCTGGACATATTTCGAGACCACAACCGAATATGCTTCAGTTTTGTATTTTTATGTTCCAAAGAGCATCTCGTGCTTGAGTGGAAACGAGGACATCTTTGTTCATTGTTAAATCTTTGTTTTACTGTTTGCACAAAAGTTCACATAATCCAAGTCAAAAATTTTATTATTTGATAGAATGACAGAAATATTGCAATATTTCTTTCATATTTAAGCCATATTCATGCTTCTAGGTCATTAATCAAATAATCACATTTTTAAACAATCAAAATTTTAATACAATTTTTTTAAAATGAAATAAAACGTTTTAATAAAAAAGTTTTTTAAATTAAAATCCTAAAACTTTAAGAATGTTTTAAAAAATAATTTTTAAAATCTAAATATGTTCACATAAACATGCATTTTAGAATGTATTTTAAACAATGTAATCTATTTTATAAGATGAAAGAAATATTTTAAATTCTACACTATTTCTAGATCATTAATCAAAGTTTTAAGTAATTAATATTTGAATGAAATTCTCATTCTAAAACTATTTATTTTTTGTTTATTATATTATATTATTTATGGTTTGCTGGAACTTTCTGGACTGAAAATCTATTTGTGCATATAAACATGAAAAAAAAAACTTTTATCTATATAAATAGTGTTTTAAACGTAAATGTATTTTAAACAGTGTAATGTATTTTATATATTCTCAGCTGAAAAATGTTGCTTCTGGTCTTTTCTCAAGACTATATCTCTATATATCCTATAAGGTCTTGATGTACCTGGAAGCCATTAGGCATGGACTCTCCGAACCAAACGTGCTTCTTCTCTCTGATGTTCTTGCTAGTGTACCAGTTCTTCATGGGAATGGTGTTCTGAGATGGGCTGACGCAGGTCTCACTAGTCTCCATGTTGCAGAAGACCTTGATGGCATCCAGAGGAGAGCCCTGGTTGGGATCCACCCAGTAGGAACCTTGCAGGAAACAGTTTCAAGTGAATTTCAGAGCTTCTAAATGCACGTTAAGTACAATATATCTAAATTTGATCTACAGCAGGAGAACTGGCACAAATCTCAAAGTTCAAGGTAGTTTCAGCAAGTTTCTTGCTTAAAGCAAGTCCAAGTCCGTGCTTACCGCTCTTCCAATCAGGATGGCACATCCTGAGGTCACGGCACATGCGGGCAGGGTTGGCCTGGGTTCCTTCGGGGCTACGGATGTTCTCAATCTTCTGGCTCAGAGATTTTAGGGTAGTATCCACCTCAGCATCGCGGTCACGAACGCTAGCATCATCAGCTCTGTAGCCTCCACGCAGAGGATCTGGACCCTTCTCGCCCTGGGGCATAGGAAGGAATGGCTCACCGATGCCTGCAGGTCCAGGAGGACCAGGAGGTCCAGGAAGACCAGGAGTACCCTAATTAAGAGAAAAAAAATCACGTTTAAAACAGAGACCACTAAAAAGCTTGAAAAAGATAATTTAGCAGTAAAACTGTGATGATTTTAGACTTACAGCAGGTCCCATCTCTCCAGAGCGACCACGGGGTCCAGGAGGTCCAATGGGGCCAGGTATACCGTTCATACCATCCTTACCAGCAACGCCATTGGAGCCAGAAGGTCCCTATTAGCAGAAGGAAACAGTTTGGATTAAAATGCATGCGTGCAGAAGCTTGTCCTGTGATTTCTCATTTGTGTTTTCAGAACAAAACACTCCAATTTAACATATGGCTTCAGAAGTATTACTACTAACTAATTTTATGGTGTTTTTTTGGAGCCTGACAGTCCTTGGTCACCATCTACTATTGCTGTATGGAAAAGAGCAGCATGGAAATTCTACAAAAAAAACGTCTTTCACGGTATTGTGAAAAGCTCTACAAATAAATTAGACTTGATATAAAATTCATAATCTGTGTGCTACTTACACGAGGTCCAGCAGCGCCAGATGGTCCGGCGGGTCCTTGGTCACCAGAGGATCCCTAAAAACATTGAGGAATCCACTTTGAGTGGGAGAAGAGATTTGGATATTCAGATTCAGTGTGTAACTGTGACATAACGCTCACTTACAGGAGGTCCAGGAACTCCAGTCATTCCACTGAAGCCACGGTGTCCCTTCATGCCTCTCTCCCCAGCCTCACCAGACTCACCCTTGTCTCCACGTGTACCGGCTGGACCCTGTATGTATAGCGATGAGAATGATCAGCCTGGTGATGAACTGCTAAAAAAAAGAATTTGAAAGATTGATAAAAATGTGAAATTCATACTAGGCCACCACGAGCACCAGCAGGACCGGAAGGACCAGCAGGACCAGAGGGACCCTTGAAGGAAGAGGGAGGAAAAACAAACAAATAAACAGGACAATAGTGAACATCCACTGGGCCACACTCGTGGCATGAGATAATTCAGCATAATACAGTATATATATCATATAATCACAGTTTTGAACATTACAGTGGGAAATGATCATTAACTAAAACTAAAACAATAAAAAATGTCATTACTTGAAATAAAATAAAACATTAAACACATGCTTATTTTTTTAAGCTAGTTGATAATAATTCTCATTTTACTTTAGTTTCAGTACTACAGTACATCAATTATTAAAAAGACAAAAACACACAACAAAGTTACTAAAACTTTGAAAATTAAAATAAAAACAAAATATTAACAAAAAGTATAATAGTATAGAAATTATACTAAAACAACACTCATATAGTGCCACTTGTTGGCATGGATGTTTTACATTTATTTGTTTATTTAGGTTTTTTAAAAACCTAAATAAAAACCTAAATTGTTCATTTAAAAAAGCAAACAGAGGCTCTTGATTCGAATCATTCTGGTAATTAAAAAAATACACACAACAAAGTTACTAAAACTTTGAAAATTAAAATAAAAACAATATATTAACAAAAAGTATAATAGTATAGAAATTATACTAAAACAACACTCATATAGTGCCACTTGTTGGCATGGATGTTTTACATTTATTTGTTTATTTAGGTTTTTTAAAAACCTAAATAAAAACCTAAATTGTTCATTTAAAAATGCAAACAGAGGCTCTTGATTCGAATCATTCTGGTAATTAAAAAAAAATATTTTGCATATAAAAAAAACTTACAGCCTCTCCACGATCACCATTCTTGCCAGAAGGACCCAAAGGGCCAGGGGCTCCAGGAGCACCAGGGGCGCCAGGAGAACCAGAGTTGCCAGACTCACCACGGTCTCCCTACAGCAAACGGGAATTTCACTGGAAGCACTTTCACATATACCATTGACATATTTACAGTATATGCATTCATTTTTTACATAAGGGATAATAAATGAACCAAGATAGGGTTATAATGACTCTATACTACCCTAAACCATTTACCAGTTGTAAAAATCTTTATTTAGATTTCTTTCTTTATTTTATTGATTTATTTAGATTTCTTTATTTAGGTGTCTTTAAAAAATAAGTACAGTTTACTTATAGTGTTCATGTTGCTTTGTTTCTTTTTTGCTATTGAGGTGGGATACGGGTATGGTTAGGTTTAAGGCTGGGTTAAGGGGGAATTGTAACTATTCACATGAAATTACATGCAGGTATTTTTGTGCATTGAGGTGCATTGAGACAAATTACTTGTACAATGTACAGACAATGCAGGCCATAAGCTGCATGCATAATAATTAAAAAATTAATCGGAAAACACTGTTTTAGTTGTGTGTATATATATATATATTGCATAAAAAATATTTGACTAGAATGCCTTGACTGGATAGTGAACATGTGTGATTGCGCTCACCTTTGGTCCAGGTGGACCATCACGGCCAGGAGCACCATCATGTCCAGGGTTACCCTGCAGAGACGAGTGACATTACGAAAATGACTCCAGCATACTGCACTGAATGTAGCCATTTTGGTAGCCAATTCTGGTTTAACAAAACTCCTAAAATCAGTAAAGTTTGCTCACCTCACGTCCAGCTTCACCAGGAGCTCCACCCAGTCCAGGAGGTCCCATAGGTCCAGGAGGTCCACGCTCACCTAAAAGCCCAGAGGGTCCCTGCTTTCCTGGCTCTCCCTGAGGTGATGGATAGGTGAATGAGTATTGTGAAGAATGGCAACTGAAGTCAAAATGAAATGGCATTCAAAATTACTTCTGCAATATGATGTATTTTAGAGTAAAATAGTATGTCCCATGTGCAGTCCTAATATAGCTGTCTAACATACCTGGCATTGTATATTACGATAACATCGCCCTGCATCATATTTGCTAAATGAAACCCAAGATTTCTTTCCCACTAATTTCGATGGGCTGATTCCAAAAATAGTGTCTGTTTTGCTCGAGCACATCATAGTTTCTCACAAAATATGCATTTCGTCTTCCTCTAAGTCAGATTACAATTTATTTGTTCAATTTTCAGTCCATTGTATGACATTATTTTATGCCTAAACATAATTTCAAGCTTAGAATTATGGCCAATGACAGAAGAAAATGCAAATATGATCTAGACGTTTTTTTTTTTTTTACTATATCCAAACACCAACAAAACTGATTTTGTGAATAAATAAATAATAAATAAAAAATTATGTAAAAAAATTATGTTTTGATGTAAAGTTCTTTGACATTAAATGGACTATTTGAACATATCTTTCCAATATGTTCAGAATGTAAGATTGTTAATTAAATGGATAATTTTTCTGAATAAATTCAAAACTTTTATTTTGATAAGTGCATTAAAGCTGATACATATATATAATTTGAAAAAAGAAAATGCATATTTTGAACTCAGCATTAAATTAGATTATATTAGGCCTTTTTTTGCAAATCAGCAGAAATGTTTTTTGTTTTTTCAAGATGCATGGCTATGTTATTGTTGGCTCTTTGATGATTGGAAATGCATAAATGTAGTCAGCAACATGTGAAAACTGAACCTTTCACATGAGAATGATGAGTAAAGTTAAAAGGGTTTGGGATGTTAGTCGAATATTTTGATGAAACATTATGAAGACAAATGTGTTTTCTCCTAACACACTAATGAATCCTACACATGCACAATACGATCTGGAATGCACGTTAAGAAAATAAATGGTTTCAATTCTGATTTTATGTTGAATTTAACATAGATTTCAATGTTTTAAAACAACAGATATGAATAAAACGCTTACAGAAGGTCCAGGGAGACCGGAGAATCCTCTCTCTCCTCTTTGTCCAGAAAGACCAACAATACCACGGGACCCAATAACACCAGGTGGTCCAGGAGAACCAGCTGGACCCTAAAAACCAGACAACAGAGCAAAGTGAATATTAATTTACAGCTGAGAATCACAGAAAGTCATTTTGTGGCTGTAGTGATGAAAATATGTTTGTGGCATGATTACTTACAGCAGGACCATCGGGACCGACGCTACCCTTCTCTCCAGAGGGTCCTGAGGGTCCAGCGGCGCCAGCCTCTCCAGGGCGACCAGAGGGTCCTCTCTCACCACGGACACCTCTTTGTCCTTCTTTACCGACAGCACCAGTTGGGCCTGGGGGTCCAGCAGCACCCTGAGAGAAAACAGAAGATAGGCAGTGAAATTAAATGTTCAGACTCCTGACAAGACCAAAATAAACTTCATTTACTTCATGTAGCCCCTTAGTTTTAAGTTAATATTTCAATGATGTAACAATGCAGTTGCATGCTCACACTTTTCATGTGTTGGTTAATGGTCACATGACATGTAAACAATATTTTTTGTGTTTTGATAATTATTTTAATTGATCCTTTTTATGAATTAATTATTATTATTATTATTCACAAACCCCAGTTTTGGAAATCCTGGTTTGGACCTGCTTTAGAACGTAGATTACTTACAGCAGAACCTGGAGGTCCGACTCTGCCAGCAGCACCAGGGAAACCAGTAGCACCCTATTAAAAAACAAAGACACTATGAAACGCTGCAATATCATATTGGAGAAAGTACATACATTGGCACCAAAAAGCATGATTACATACAAAAAAAATACTGTGTGTGTTTTACAAAATATCAGACTAATTCAAATTTTTTTTTTTTACAGAAAAAGCATGTTTGGGGTTAAATAATGAACTCCAGCTGTGTGAGCTTTACAAGCACAGACTTTAAACTGGATATAAATATATTTTTCAAATTATATATATATATATATATATATATATATATATATATATATATATATATATAAGGTGTT